TTTCTGCTCATGCTGCTGGCGTGCTTTAAAAATCTCCAAGTTGTGACAGAAAATATATACTGGTATTTAACTCTGTGGTTTCCCCATGAGTTCTTTTCGTTAGTTGCCAGCACCACCGCCAATGCAAGCTGGTCGATGTGAGCGCATCACCAGGGCATCAACATCTATAGAGGTAAGGAAAATTCGCCAGCCGAAGTTTGATTGTCCTTAGTGGAATCATTTATTTCGAACTCGCTTACCTGTACTACGCTGAACACTCGCTCGTTCACTCCCACAGTAACCTCCGTTATCCAGCCGAGCTCGAAGCTCTCCCTCGAGGTCCATACCACACCCTAATCCGTTCACTCGAGCGACATCTCTAAATGGGCCCCCTAAGGTTTAGGGTCGAAGGAAGCACCTTCCGGGATTCACAGAACAGAGAGGTCGCTTTGAGAGGAATAAACGTGGATGCTGCTGCTAAATATCCCAAAACGCCTAATATACCCTCGTACGTATCGGAGAACTTCTATGACGGGGATAATGTTTCTTTCGTGGGCCGACCGTTCGAACTGAAAGACGCGCACACTCATTTTACAAGATTAAAGAGATGGGGTTACAATTTCATAAGATATATTTTTACTTGGGAGGCTCTTGAGCATAGCGGACCCGGCAAATATGACGAGGAATTTATAAAATTCACAATAGAAATACTCCGTCTAGCAAAAAGCTATGGGTTTTATGTGTATATGGACCCTCATCAGGATGTGGTATGTCCTTTGGGTATCTATCTACGCTGGATACAGATTTACTTTCATTAACATTCAATAAATACATAGTGGTCTCGATTCTCTGGCGGCTCAGGGGCTCCTATGTGGACCGTTTACGCGGCTGGCTTCAATCCTCGCAACTTCAATGTTACCCAAGCTGCCCTTGTGCAAAATACCTATCTCCCAGAGCCTGCGTCCTTCCCGAAAATGATCTGGAGCACGAATTATAGCCGACTCGTCTGCCAGACGATTTTCACCCTTTTCTGGGCGGGAAAAGACTTCGCACCAAAGGCAATTATCGACGGTAAAAATATTCAAGATTACCTCCAAAGTCACTACATAAATGCATGCAAGCATCTTGCAACCCGAATTCATGAGGCCGGCGATCTGGAGGACGAGGTCGTAATTGGGTGGGAAAATATGAATGAGGTGAATCGAGGGCTAGTAGGAATTCAAGATCTCTCTATTATCCCTTCAGACCAGCACCTCCAACTTGGCACTTCACCCACTGCTTTTCAAGGGATGTTGACCGGCTCCGGCCGTGCATGCGAAGTGAACACATGGGGGTTTGGTAGCTTTGGGCCCTACCAAATTGGAAGGGAACTGGTTGATCCTAAGGGCCAAAGTGCGTGGCTGACCGCTAATTTTGACGACACTCTCTACGGTTGGAAAAGAGATCCTCAGTGGAAATTAGGAGAATGCCTCTGGGCTCAGCACGGCGTCTGGGATCCAAACACCGACAGCTTGCTGAAAAAGGACTATTTTGCCAAGGACCCAAAGACGGGTAAAACCCTCAACTACGAAGATTTTACGAATCAGTATTTTATGGATCACTATCGGAATTTCAAAAATGCCATTAGAAGCGTGCATGCCAATGCTATCATGTTTTGCCAGCCGGCTGTGTTGGAGTTACCTCCGTCGATCAAAGGAACTGAGGATGATGATGCAAACATGGTCCATGCCGCGCATCAGTATGATGGGCTCACGCTCATGACCAAACACTGGTTAGTGGATGCGCCTTCTCTTCTATTGTGCAAATCATTGACCTGCTAATTTTTAGGAATCGCATCTACAACGTGGACGTTGTTGGGGTTATACGGGGCAAATATCTCAGCCCGGTTTTTGCTATCAAAATAGGTGAAACTGCAATTAGAAATTGCCTCCGCGACCAACTACGCTACTTGCGAAACGAGAGCTTCGATTATATGGGTCTCCACCCCATGGTTTTCACGGAGCTTGGCATTCCGTACGATATGGATGACAAACATGCATATAAAACAGGCGATTTTAGTAGTCAAACCAGCGCAATGGATGCAAATCACTTTGCGATAGAAGGGAGTGGATCAAATGGCTTTTCGCTGTGGTGTTATACGTCAGAGGTACGGAGTCATTTGTCACCCCAAAGACACAAATAAAAACGAGTGAAATCACTAACCAAGATAACTGTTGTAGAATTGCCATGAATGGGGGGATCGATGGAACGGCGAGGACCTTTCCATATTCTCAGCCGATGACCTAGAATTACCTCTTCAAGATCTGGATGTGCTAGGAAATATTCCGCAAAATCGGCTCTCCACATCCTCTGATCGAACTTCTCCCACATTCTCCACTGCTCAAAGCAGTTCAGCTACCCATGTTTCCTCTCAAAATCTAAAAAACGCGATTCCACAACCTTCTATAAGTCAAGTGTCACAGCTATCTCCCGAGCTGACGGATAAGCCTGGTTTCCGTGCAGCAGAAGCATTTATCCGGCCCAGCCCTGTCGCTACCCACGGCTCTATCAAAGAATATGGATTTGATCTCCGAAACTGTATCTTCACACTATCATTGTCTGCCGACACTGCTACAACCGAAGCTGCACCTTCTACTATCTACCTCCCCGAGTGGCACTATCCGAAAATGAACACTGAGGTAGCTGTTAGTGGTGGGAAATGGGCGATTGATGTTCAAGAGGTTGGATCTGGAACTATACAAATACTGAAATGGTGGCATGCAGAAGGGGATCAAAACATCAAAATTCAGGGGCTAAAACGGAAAGCTGCGACTGTTCCTGACACCAGTGAGGATGAAGGATATCTTGAGCAATGCCAGCGTAATTCTTGCAGTGTGATGTGATGTAGCGCCTAGGTGACATGTTCTCCATCCCCTATTTCATCCTCTTCATAATTTTCGTTCATGTTTGTTTTTTGCCTCATTAGACATGTAGGTTTCGGTGTTTCGAATATCGTTCTCTTGGCCACTTATTTCACGTCTTTTCTTTTGCCCCGGACAATTGCTTCGTCCAGAGTTACGTGTTGTTACACTGTGCTGATCATATCGCTGATATACACGACTTTCCTTCATGCACTTTTCTGATTTGACAAGCTAATACTCATACAGCTATAGCTTCCGTTTTCCATCTCATTCATTTTTACGCATGATGTCGTGTCGTTACCGTTAAACCTTTGGTTTGAGAAGTTGAAGGAACAAAATGAATTTGCGCTTCCAAGTCGTTGCCCCATTTCTAATTGCTTTGTCAGTCGTTTTTGCATCTGATTTCGTCAAATTCGACAATCAACAACTTCGAGAATTCTTGGTTTCTCACAGCCCTGTTTTTCTATAGATGGCATGGTGCCAGGTCTGGTTAGTTCACCAAAATGTGAGCGTGAAATCGAGATAAGTGTGGAGATAAATAGCACAGGTGGATCTTATGCCATTCCAACATATTCAATCAGCAACCGAACGGAAGCGAAAGGGGGATTAAGATTGGGACTATCATCACGACTATTCGTAACGTAACTATGCAATGTAAGGCGTCAAACTAAATGGCATGACATGCAAATTTAAAGTTGAAACTACGAAGGTCGTAGATATACATCCAAGCCATTGCTGGTACGAGCCAGCCACGACAAAAACTGGAACCAAGGTATGTACTTTACATTCATCACCCCCGTTAAAGAAAAATATATCCTTAGATGCATTCGCTCAAATTATGCAAGATTTCCTCCATTTGGATGCTATTGCTCCTGTTGGTGCTGCTGATTTTGATATCGAAGTTGTAGAAGATCGGTGAACCATGGATGACGAAGAGCGTCGACGGCACTGATCCGCATCTCAGTGCGTAACTGCAGCATGCGATTGAGCAGATCGAGACCTAGACTATCTATCCGGGGAAGGATCAGACTTAAATCCTGTGCGGCATACACCAGAAATTTGGTTTGTATTCTGGAAATTGTGAGATCCCAGGCCAAGAACGCTCCGACGGCGTTCCCATCAGGCGGAAGATTTTCTGTAATTGATCCTCATTGGTGGAGCCAGGGAACAAAGGGCGTCCCGCATACATTTCAGCCATGATACAGCCTGCAGACCATATATCAATGCTCGTGTTGTACATACGGCTTCCGAGGAGAACGTCTGGGGCACGATACCACAATGTAACGACCTCGTGCGAGAAGTGTTGACTGGAATACCAAATGCTCGTGCCAAACCAAAGTCTGCCAATTTCATTGTCCATTCGCATTAATCAACAGGTTTTGGCGGCTTGAGATCTCGATGCAGGATACGATTATGGTGACAAAATGCAACGCCACGCAGTAATTGGTGCATGAAATCTTTGATAGTGGCACATTCCAGTTGGTTGTTTCGCACTTCCATGTATTTTTTCAAGTCTTTGTCCATGAACTCGAAAACAAGCATCAGCTTGTTTTCGGTATGAATTATATCATATAGAGATAGGATATTTTCATGTTTTAGTTCTTTCATCAGGGAGATCTCGCGAATTGCAGTGGATGGAGTACCCTCTTCCGAATCCAGATGGATCACTTTCAAAGCTACCATCTGAGCAGTTTGCCGGTTTCTCCCTTTATAAACCTACATAAAGGAAGTTAGAATGGTCTATCTGACTACTTTTAGAAGATCGAAGAGAATAGAAAATTTGTCGTAGCAACATACGGTCGCATAGGTGCCTTCACCGAGCTACAAATATTTGGTCAGCCTCAATGTCGTAGGGATTTTGTATGAAATTCAGGGTTTTGCACAAACTTTCTCTAGCCGCTGAAAAGAGCTCCGCTGCGGGGGTCTGCTATCCATCGTCAGTGTGAGTATCGGTCCCGGGACAACGCTTGGAATGGACGGTAATAAATGGAGCAGATCGAAGGTCAAACTCTAGAAGTAAAAGAACAGAAAACTAGGTCAGACGGACAGGTACATCACTAGCCAACTTGTAGCGATGTTGACCTGTGAACAACAACGACATATCTTCGGCTTTGATGGTGGCAGTAAATGAAAGCGGTGGGGTAGTTAACTAGTTATTGGATGTTACAGAGTGCATGTCCACAACAATATGTCGTCAGCCAGCGCTTATGGTGCAGAATCATTGGCTCCTACAGAATTCAACAACAAGGCTGGCTGACTTGCTGGCGCTTATCTGTGGACGATTGAACATCTGACAGAGTCTTGATAGTGCATACTACAAATTTTATCAACTACTCTTCTACCGCCCATTAGTTTTCGAGCAATAATCCCTTGTATGGGATTGAATCGGCAGTAATTTTGGACAACCACACTTAGAGTGTAGATCAATTATTAACAGGATTTGTTGACATAGAGCCAAGAGTACTGAGTAGCAGTGCGGTAACAGCGAAAGAGTAGAGGGTGCTGGGATATCAGAATCATAACGATTCTCAAACATCGAGGAGCGTCAGGATTGTTATGACCCAGCAAAGCGCTATTTTTCATCCGCGGCGCATGACTCCATATACAGGACCCCATATTTAGCAAAAGTTGTAAGTCGGTTACAGGAATCACTCAGTACCTAGAGGCCCTGGCACATGGAAGTATCCAACCTAATCTAGAATGATTCCTCACTGACATAGGCAAATACCAGGATTCGAGGTTACTTCTGTGCCCAACCGTCTTAGTCCAATCATATAAAGAGGAAAGACTGTCAACCTAGCAATAAGATTCTTCAGGTCTATACTTCACAGCTCAGTCAATGGGCCAAAGCTAAACCAAGGGTGCCAAAGTACGGCCCTGATAGGTGGTACTTGGATAATCCCTTGATATAGTGATTTAATCTCAATCGTAAAAAATATACCCATCCTTTCAAAATTTGACGTGTCTGCTAGCCGAAAGAAAGATAACGCTGTATGTATACATATGGCATACGTAGCACAGAAAGAGCGCGGTTGGACGAAGGGATTGGTGGTGGGGAAGCTCTCTCACAGCAGCAAGTTCAGCCACTTTTCCCTCTCACCAGTGGGATATTGGCTCTAGCTTACCGCAACGTCCCTATTCATTTTACCCATGCCGTGCTATAGAGATTCATTCCCCTGGCCGTGTTGAGGGGTCGATATTGCGTAGAAGACTCCCTAGTAAAACCAATAGTATTGTTAAACCGCATCATGCTGTTGGCCGGAATCAGTTTGCCGCAGGCGCGAGAACAAGTTCATTCTAATGAGAAAGTGACTGGTAGCAGTACATGTCGACAGCAACGCGCTGACGAATATACTACCACGAAGAGCCTCTCATGGACACGGAACATGAAATCACAAAGGCTTGTGATAGATTCTCAGACAGACGCTGCTTATTGTTTTGAGCCCGTGAGGGGGCTAGGGAGTCTTTAGCTTGTTTGCGATATACGCGCCAGGTGCGAAGAGAGGTGGTGGGGAAAGCTTGGGGGGGCCGAGGATACGGTATAGTATTTTGCCGGCTCCTGTCAGGCGTTCCTAAGGCGCTCGGAAAGTTCCAAGTTCGTCCAGTCATGCTGAGATCAAGGTTGTGGGTCGAAGGTTGGAGAGGGGAAGGTGGATAGAGAGAAAGGACGTAGCGAAACGAAACCGAAGATATTCCTAGAAGAACAAATTTGACTCGCTAAATCATAACTCAATACCTATTCTGTCTATCATGAATGGGTATAGTCACCACTTCTGTCAATGTGCTGCAAAAACATGTAGTGATAAAAGAGTTTGCGGTCAAACTGATAGAATCTTGGACAAACCTAGTAGGTAAAAGAGACTCCTCCCATGGTCGCATGAGCCCGCGCTTGTCAATGGCATGATCGAGGAGGGAGGTAGAAGCAAAATGGGCGCAAATTGAAAGATGAGACTTGTTATCCGGATGTTGTCGAAGCGCGGAAGTTTGGGGGCGGAACCCGCTGGCGGGAAAAAAGCCAAGATCAATCCCGCAGATCGGCATCATTCTCCCTCTCTTTTTTTTTTTTTTTTTTTCGTTACAAGTTTTTTCAAACAACCGTCAACTGTCGCCAAACCAGACTGCCCCAGTAATTGCCAGCTGATACTGTCCGGCCCACCAGGCATCCAAAGGGCGCTAAAATAGACTCCAAGCTGGAGGTTCCATTGACGAATACAAAATCGCGCATGGCAGCGAATTATTCACCAGTTGATCTCGAAATTTCACCACGCCTGCAGAGTTCGAACCATGCATCGACGCCACTATTAGAACCATGAAACATTGATATCAGCATTCTTCGTCCATACAGCCCACTTTGCAGCTCTGGGTAGAATGGCAGGGCCTGCCTCTCTTTCCCCGAATACTCAAGCTGTAGGTAGCGGTAGTACCATGTTGGATTATGTGGTGCCGAACCTTCGAAACATCATACAAGCTCTTGATATCATTCACAGCCCAGCTTCAACCAACGCCATCCGTCAACAAGCTTCCGAATTCCTCGAATCTCAGAAACATGCAAAGTCAGCTGCTGATACTGGCTATGCATTGGCAATAGAGAAGATTGATTCTCCTATTCTTCGCCATTTCGGTCTGTCATTACTTGAGCATTTTCTACGGCATAACTATTCACGTTTGTCTGAGGAAGAACAGGAAAGTGCCAAAGGGAAAATCATCCTTTTGGCAAAATCGATCAGTCCCCAGGATGAGTCATTTATCGGCAACAAAGTGGCGCTTGTATGGGTAGAAGGAGCAAAGTGTAGCTGGGGCGCTGGTAAATGGACGGAGATGGACGCCGATTTGATTCAGATATGGAATATGTCTTGGGCACATAAGAAACTAGTCCTTTCGATTCTAGAAACTCTATCCGACGATATTTTTAATCACGAAGATAAAACTTCGTCATCCCACGAAACTCCACTCCATCGCGCACTTGTTGAAATAGTTCCGCCTAACTCAGTCTTTGAAGAATTGCATCCCGGGAGAGATCACCACACTGAGCTACGCTATCGTAGCCACGGCAGCCGTGGGTGGCTTTTCATGACATGCGACCTTTTGAGCGAATGCCTAAATAACATCCAAAGCTCACGCGAAGCCAAAATATGCGCCATACAAGCACTAGCGACCTTGCGATCACTAATGTTGTGGTCGAATCCTTTGGCAATATCGAGAGCTATGTGTGTCGAAATGATTTACAAAGCATTAGTGGTCCAGGACGATGATATTATTATGGTAAGTATCCCACCTCCAGATTGATTTCTCCATTTTCTCAAATGGTGACGATTGATAATGTTGCTAGGCTGCCATCGATGCTCTTCATGCCCTATACAGCAGGAATCATGATATGATGAAGTTCCAGGACCTTGTCAATTTAGTATACCAAACCCAAAATATCCATGTTCTGCAAAATCTCTATAACTGGTCGATTGTTGACGTACACGATATATCGGTCTTGAAATACAATATATCTAAGAAATTATCTGAAGTAAACATCGCTAATTCCTGTATGGGTCTTCAAAAACTAACTTACATCATTCCAGCTGATATCGTATATTGCCGGATTCCTTGAGGAGAAGAACTTCGATTTCCATAAGGATATCGATTTGGCAACATTCTTTCCATTCCTCATGAACATCCTTCAACACCCCAGTCTGACTGTGTCGATACCCATACTCCATTCATGGTCCAGACTACTAGCGTTGAGCAAAATCACAGGCTTGGATGTAATCCACAGACTTATCGCGCCAATACTTGAAACATGCACTCAACGTCTTGTGCGCTACGAAACTCTGCCCGAAGATACTGATGACCCGACGATTATATTTCTAAACGAGGACATCGACACCATACCGGAGAGGCATGCATTCGTTGGGAACTACCGGCGATACTGTGCTCAAACAATTGAACTAATAGTGTATCGATGCCCACATGACGCGATCCCACATATTCTCGCCCGAGCAAATTACGTCTTGAACAATCTATATAATGCAGCCGCTCCTTTCAATCGTGAGTTCTCCCGCTTAATGTGCCTCAGAACTTAGTTGACATGACTAGCTGCAACCTTTAAAAAACACTCCCTGCCTTTGTTGCAAGCGGATACTCAGTTCACTGTCGTTGAGGCTACCCTAAGGGGCTTCAGCAAATGGGTGGAGGCGCATGGAAACTCTCCACAACAGGATGTTCGTACTTCCCTACAAAAGGCAGTTTCTTAACACTTACATCCGCTCTAGGAACAACAACGACTTGGACTGGAAAGTTCTTTAGAGTCGTGGGCGCTCAACTTAATGCAAAAGAATTTTCAAGTAAGGACTAGGTACCTATCCTCCCGTTTACATAAATCGACTAAATTAAATAGGATCCGGTTGTTAAAGAACGAGTCATAAGGCTTTCCGTTGATTTTTGTTACAAAGCGTTGAAGAACAACCAAAGTTTCGTTCTTAAGGTTCTGGAGCATATTCTAACAACGAGCCTTCCCGACCTTCCAGAATATCCTGCCTACTCCGAAGCTGTGAAGGAACTCCACAATACGGCTACATACGAAGTACGGCGGTTGACCATACGCTATGCCGATTATTTTTCGGTAAGTTTCATGTTGTAATGAGAAACCTTGGCTGCTACTGACCAGCCAGACGTTTTATGATGTTCTAGAACAAAAAATTCGGGAGATTGTTTCGATGTCCAGCGCGGAAGACAAGCCCCAAATGGAGCTTTCTTCGATCCTTCTCATCATTATGTAAGTCCGTCCTAACAACTCAGAGACCAGGCTTCTAAAGTATTCCAGGCAACGGGCGCCGCAGGTGGACCCTACTCTACGGCAGTCTCGACTACGATTGTTTATTGAACCCATTATACAATCATGGAGTAGCGGGGAGTTCAGGCAAATTTCAGCATCCTTCGGGGGGTTCTGTCAACTGCTTGGATTAGACCAAATTTGGCCATATCTACAGCGTGTCCAAGCCCAGAAAGTGGAGGACTGGTCCATGATACCTTTGGATGAGGAGGGGAGGAAGATACAAGCCCACATGACATCAAAATTCCAGGTACTACGCCATGAGCTCACACCATCATCAAAAGGACTTCGATTAACATCCTTAGCAACTGCCGCTGCGAATGACGAAAACAATGCTATCGGTATCCACAGAAAAGCTACAAACCACCGACCCAGCATACTTAATTGCGTGCGATTTATGGCGCGACTCAATCCCCCTTATTCTCCCAACATTGCTCCAGCTTTTGAGGTTCGCAACGTAATCCTTCCAATTTATGAACATAAAGCTAACCAGCTGTTAAGCCATGCACATGCCTTTCACAATTCAGAAAATTGTCCTGGACTACCACAAGATATGGCCCCACTTGTTGGACGGATCCTCACAGATCGGTTTTGGCAAGCTGGTATCTCAAGTGGCAGCAAAGAAGATTTCTATGCGCGCATAACTACGTCGAAATCCACACTCGAGGGATTTTCATCCTCTGTTCGAGGGAAAGTGAGAGCTGTACGAGAAGCTTGCTATTCCATTCTTTACAGCATGAGTAGGCTCCGGGAGCACTTCTACTCCTTTGAAGAACTCCCTGTTCCCTTGTCTCAAGCATTATTTAAAGATGCAACATCACTGTCCTGCCATCAGCTGTCTGTGCTGCTCAATGTTTCCCGCTGTATCGTTGACGATTGCCCCGCAAGATATCGACACCATTTCTTGCCTCCAATTTTATCTGCTCTATTCATTCAAATCGACAAGAAGATTACTGCGGAGTGGGACATGATAGAGCATCGAAAGGCTGGGATGGTGGAGTCAGATTTGACGGTAGAAATGAAAGATGAAAGCATCCTCCGCCAACTAACTTACTCAGTGGTCATCATGGTGGCGAGCCTTCTTGACCCACAACGGGGAGGTCAGTCTCTTCCCGATCCCTTTCGATTTCGATTTTATGCTCTAACACTTCTCACGAAAAAAAAATAGATCCGGAAAAGGCTACCGACCCAAGTAAACAAATTGGCACTGCTAACCAACCTTCCCCCGGCGACTCCATACGCCGCTTCATTCTTTCATCCCCCCAAATTCTCGAACCGGTAATTCTCTTCTGCACACACGCGATCCGCATGAAGGACACCCGTTGTTGTGCCATCATAACTCGAGTCATCCGATCTATTCTCAACGTATTCGTTCTCGAAATCGATGATCCCACTGCGAAGAGTATCCGCGAGTTCATCAGTACAGATATCCTAAAAGCATGTATCACATCCGTCCACGAGCCCTATTTTGTTGACATGCAAAAGGAACTCGCGCAACTTATTGCTTCAATTTGGATAGTATATGGGGCTACCAGCGACACGCCGACAAAGATCATAGAAAGCCTACCTGATATATCAAAAAGCGAGATTGCGGCTACATATACCAAACTCCGGGAGTCGCGGTCCAGCCGCCAACAAAAGGTTCTAGTTCTCGGTTTATTAGAGGGCTTGCGGGGTGTAAGCATTAGCGAACAGGGGCGCATTGCTGCTCCCCCGCCTGTTCGAAGGAAGCCTAAATCTGCACTCCAGGAACATTACACGACGGAAATGGAAGGACAAGAAGGAGGGAAAGTCGATATCAATAATGGCCCGGATTTAACAGGAGTGGCAGACATGTTTTCCTTATGAATTTCGCAAGCAAGCGGCAGCTGTGAGAATCGTGCTTTGTGCCCCAGGGAGATTTCAGCCTATGGTACTCCTGAAGATTCATATATCACTTTGGTTTTACCGTTCTATATACCTCTTGTGTCCTATCACTTCTGTTTTCCTTTGATTAAGTAATCATCTATAGAAAGATCAATAAGCGCCCTTTAAAATGGATAAAGTTCAAATAACAAAGAATACCGTTTGAAACGGGCAATATGGACGTATAACCATCGTTGAAAATGTATTCACTCTTCCCATTCTTCTAACTTCCCCGAAATCCAACCCCCGCTTAATGGTATATATCATAATTGAAAGTCAAAGAGAACGGCCAAGACCGGAAAGAACACCTCCATAAAATTATTCTCTTTGCAAACGAGAGAACTCAAAAAAGAAAAAGAAAAAAAGAAAAACAATAATTCCCTTCAAACACACCATGTGCCATCTTAGACAGTTGTAATTGGATCCAGAGCCTCACCCTCCAGTAATCCCTCATTTCTTCTTCTTCGGAAACTTCTCTTTCCCAATATCACGCCCGGTGAGCTTAATATTAAGCACATTCTCAATTTTGGGTAGTACTTTTTTATCCGCCCCCTTCTTGTTCTGCTCCAAGTCGGCTATGACAGCGGGTGTCGTGTTGCATTTCGCAGCGAGCTCCTTCTGTGTCATCTTGTAGCCTTCTTCGTTGCGGCGGCGCTGGATGGCCTTGCCGACCTCATCACCGACGGCCTGCAGCGGGATGATATCATCGCTTCGGTCAACTTTCGTAAGATGTTGTCCCTCTACATGAGGTTTGGATGCCTGTATGTGTAGGGTAAAAGAAAAAGTCAGTGTGAATTTTTGATTACTTTATTACACTCATCAGAGAGAAAACGGTAGTTATTACAAAAAAAGAAAAAGAAAAGAGACGTGTTTGAGCCGGAAAAACCACGTACAATATTCCCAGTGGTATACTTCTTCTCTGTTCCGATGATCGCACCGGACCGGGCAGCAGCGTTCAATGCAGATCGTCCTCTGACAACTGTCTCGCGAAGACCGCCGCCTCCTCCACCACGGACTTTACTTCCGATACGGGTAACAGAATCCCAATCCTCAGACATACCGTATTGACTAATGGAGGCTGTGTGGAGCGAAATAGGGAGTTCCTTTCGCTTGAAAGTAAGTAATCAGTTACCCGTGTTGACGGTGAAGGACAACGCTGGCAAGATGATGTAGTGACAAGGCCTAGTATGAATTAAAACTTCTGGGAACAAAAAATTAAGTGAATGAAAGCTGCGAAATTGAAGGAATTTCGCTATAGTGGAAATGGCAGTGAGGATATAGAAGGTGAAGGTGAGAAGTTGGATAGCTACCAGACAGTGGTGGACGATTGAGAGAAGATGGATGATGGCAAACAGCCTTGAGACGATGACTAATAGTCATTGCGCTAACTAACTTAGTTCGCGGAAGTTCCCGGGAAAACAATTCTTCCAGCGCATCTCTGACTCAGAGTTAGTCATGCAGCTGTGGCTGTGCTGTTGGCAAGAGATCGATTTCTGATACTTTCTCTACCTCTTCACGCATGGAGCCCTTTGTTTCTGACCTGGATTAATTAACATTCTCCAAACCGCAATTTCCAGGGAACATTCTACTTCTTCTCCGCCTACCATTGATAGGGATGGCTGGAGTTGCATATGCATTACTCTCGCACTTATGAGTATCCCTTGGGACGGGCGTTGGCTGGAATGAAAATTCTAAACGCCCACATACGCTATTTCAGCAAAACTATTGAACAGGACCTCCAAAAAAAAGTCGAGATAACAAAGGGGGTGGAACCGGTGAAATGAACAGGAAATGCGTGTTTCATATTGCTGCTTATCAAGAAATGAAACCCTATTGCTGAGACGCTCATGTCCCAGTGGCAGGTTATGAGCTTTATATAGATGTGTTTATTCCGTACGTTGCCTAGATCACGATATGTTATAAGCAAGTGGAATTTAATATCCATCGGGCGAACCCACTTCTCCATGATATGTTCAAGTTCTTCTCAGTTCAAGTCATTATTTACCTCCTGACTGAGGCGGGAAGAGTCCATGGAGATTCAGCTAAGCTTAACCTTAATCTATTTAACCAAGGACCTCTCTCTGCAGATAGAAACATGAATGCCCAATAACCCGCTAGATATGAAAATTATCCCTAGCTAGTTGAGGCCTTCTATCTGACTTTGGAGTCCTTGATCCCTTCCTTTGATCTATCCCTTATGCTTATTATCATTCCCATTGTTAGTGGGCTCCTTGAACCTTGAATCTTAAACCTATTCAGATTTCCAAGGTCCGTAATTGTCAAGGGACATCAAATCCGCAACCGTTAGAAAGCAATTAATGAGGCCTCTCTTGGAGACCTTTGTATAGATTTTTCCTTGAAATTCGAGGTGGCTGTTTTCCTTTTCTCTTCAATTGGTGTAGCAATTTGACAAAGAATCCTCGATAGAGCTAAATTTTGGCGCTTGAAAACTAATCTGTATTCTGGAATATCAAAAGTGCTGTATGGGAGTCGTCGGGACTTGATGCTGTGTGTGCGCAACAATCATTGTTTTGCCATTCGTTGACAACTCAACTTCCTGACCAACACAAAACAGGCATTTACTTTCTTTGAAGAGCCCACGCAATATACCTAGATAGCGGGCATAAAAGGATATTTAAATAGAACCTTGATGACTATTTTCACTATTCCATTGACCATCAGTCCTGACGTTCCTGGCATTGTGTATCGGATTTTTCAATGAAAGGAAACCCCTTAGAAAATTGTTTCATCATGTATCATTGTGAAGATTGGTTGTAGGGTGCTCCTCTAAGTCGGTTGAAAAGATGCAGTTGTGGGTTTCTGGGCTAACGACCTCATACTGAAGGTCACTGCGAAGTTGCGCTGATGTTGCGCACCTTGGGGATTCGCCAATTGTTACAGTTATTTGGCCTAGACGATTCTTTAGACGATATGGGTGCGTACTGAACTGAGACAATGAGAGCTTGTGGAAACTTTGGAGATGACAGGCTGTTCAACTCATAATTGGCCCCATTGCCGCGTACTGACTGTACATCGTCTTGCAGTTTTGCAAGGAAAGAGGGGGAAAATAGAATTTAACATAAATAAAAACAAAATAAAATAATTAAATAATAATCTAACAGAGTCTCGTCGACGAACAAACAAAAAACCTCCCGAACGCGACATTATGAACCTTGCTATATACTACCGATCGTAATTTTCAACGTAATTTTCTGTCGAAATGCCATAACAGCTGTAGGTATTGTCCGGGTAATATTACGCATTATTGGTGACTTGGATATTTGAA